GCCCCCTCCCCACCCACCCACCCACCCCCATTTAGGGCAATCTGCCCTGCTCTCTCCTGCCACACCTTTGATGTCAAATGAATTGATGAAAAAATGCAGGACGCGTACCATTTGTGGCCCTGGTGTTCTGGGCTAATTATACAGCTCCAGACTATCCCTATGCCATGTCCTATGCCTTGCAGATAGTGTCCAGATTTACTACTACTCCCCTAGACTCTTACTGGACTGTACTCAGCCTCTGGCTGACACAGGCCTCAGGTCCCTCTAAGTGGACCTTGGCCCCTCAATGGACTGCACTCCAACTCATCTCTGGGCTTCACACTCACTCTCACCCCTTACTGGGCTACACACACACACATACCCACACACACCCACACACACACACACCCACACACACCCACACACACACACACACACTGGGCCTTTCACCCCTCGGGCTTCAGGTCCTCCTTAGTGGACCTTGTCTGCAGGCCTTTCCCCTCTATGGGGTGACTCACAAGGCCATGGGGGCTGAGGCTTTACAGCACCCCATCCTCACCTTTCACTGGAGAAGAATAGGTGTGGCATTTCCTGGGAGCTGCCCTGCCACAGGCAGTCCCACTACACCATCCAACCCCAGTAGGGTGTAGTTTCAGGACTTACCCAGGAACAACAGGAACCTCCTCCATCCCCATAGTTCCTACCCTAACCTCCAGGTCTTATAGGAGTTGCAGTAGGGCAGAGGGTGGGGTGGAGCCAGGCAGGCCTTGCTGCTGCTACCCCTGGGTCCTTCCACCAGCTCCTCTTGGGTCCTGCTGCTGCTGGTTCCTTGTCAGCTTAGACAGGCAGCCATGGACATATAATAATAAATTTTATAATTTTTAAAGGTGCTGGCAGACTGGATAGAATGGCCTGGTGGGCTGCATCTGGCCTGCGGGCTGTATTTTGCCCACCCCTGCTCTAGAAAGTGGGGTTGCCCTCTGTGGAGTAGGGGTCTACGAAGCTTCAGTCTCTGATTTGATTCAGAGAAGATTCAGACCAATTCAGAGGCTGAATCATGGAACCCAAATCAAATCAGGAGACCAAAAAAAAAACCGCTCCAAATCTATTCAGAGCCTCTGAGTATGAAATGTACTCTGTTTAAGTTTGTGGACAATACTAAACTGTGGGGTGAAGTGCACACTCCGGAGGGTAGGGAACAATTGCAGGAAGACCTGGACAGGTTAGAAAAGTGGGTAGTACACAATAGGATGCAGTACAACAAGGACAAGTGCAGAGTGCTGCACCTAGAGCGCAAAAATATCCAGCACACCTACTGGCTCAGAAGTGACCCTCTCAGCAGCACAGAGGCGGAAAGGGATTTTGGAGTCATTGTGGACTCCAAGATGTACATGAGTCATCAGTGTGATGAAATCATCAGCAAAGCTAACCACACTTTATCATGCATCAGCAGGGAGGTGATACTTCCCCTCTATGTGACATTGGTCAGACCGCAGTTGGAGTACTGCACCTTGTTTTGGGCACCGTACTTCAAGAAGGTTGTTGATAGACTCGAGAGGGTCCAGAGGAGGGCCACTCATATGCTTAGGGTCATACAGGACAAGCCCTATGTGGAGAGACTGAGGGACCTAGATCTAGACCTCTTCAGCCTCTGCAGGAGAAGGCTGAGTGGTGATCTTGTGGCTGCCTACAAATTCATTAGGGGATTGGAGATATTCTGTTCACCAGGGTCCCTCTTGGGGTAACGAGCAACAATGGTCACAAACTGACAGAGAGCAGATTTAGGCTAGATATCAGAAAAAACCTCTTCATGATAAGGGTGGCCAAAATTTGGAATGGGTTTCCAAGGGAGGTGGTGCTCTCCCTTACCTTGGGGATCTTCAAGAGAAGGCTGGATAGGCATCTGGCTGGGGTCATCTGACCCCAGCACTCTTTCCTGCCTATGCAGGGGGTCGAACTCAATGATCTGTTGAGGTCCCTTCTGACCCTAGCATCTATGAATCTATGAATCGATTCAAAAAAGATTTGGAAAAAAATTCGGAAGGCAATCTTTCAGGGGAACAGAAACCGAGAAGAGGGAGGGAAAATGGGGTA